ACCCCCTCCCCCTCCCCTGGTGAGAGCATGCCTTCTCCTGGTCTTGGGAATCTCTTCCTTGCCTTATTTATTTCCCTGTCCTTCTCTAGAGGTTATTTTGTCCATCCTTCAACTGCTAGAAAAACAATACCACCGCTCTGGCTCTTATAGCAAAAGAAGGAGGCATTCCCCTTCTCCTGGAGACCCCTCTCCCCCTCCCCCCAAATCTCTCACATCTTTATAGGCAGAAGGTTTCCAAGAAGCAACAAGGTATGGCTGTGATCTGGAGCTAAGGTTTCAATTTAGAGCCAGTTCCAGTTTTGCTGCTCGCTGTGGGGACTCACACTCCCAGCCTGAGCTTGGTCTTGGTCTTCTCATTTATGAAATAAAGAGAACCCTCCCCTAGTCCCACCTACCTCTTTAGGGTTATTGAATGACTACAATTCAGTTGTAGGTATGGATTGCTTTGAAAACAATCAGGGGGCCCGGCCAGGAGTGGCTCAGGGGCTGAACATCGACCTATGATCCAGGAGATTGTGGTTTAATTCCCGGTAAGGGCACATGCCCGGGGTGTGGGCTCAATCCCGTCAGGGGATGTGCATTGATGTATCTCTCTCTCTCCCTCTCCTTTCCTCTTTCTGAAATCAATAAAGATATATAAAAAATAAAAAAAAATCAGGGGGAGACATAGCAACTGTCATATCATAATATAAAGTTCTCTTGGCTTTACTCCGCCCTCCTGCTGAATCATTCCTGGAGAGGGACCCAAACAAGGGTGGCCCTCCCCCACCTACTCTCATGTCATTCTGCTCAGCCTCTAAAAACGCAGGGGCCCCTGAAGGTCTCCTCTGACAGGGGTTCCAAGAAGCTGGAAGGGGAGAGGAGTCACAGTGGGTTTCTCACAGAAGTGGGGTGGCCAGGAACCATTCTGCGAGGTGGGGCTGCAGAGTCGAGGGCAGAGATGACCACCACTCAGAGAAGCAGCCCCGGGGCCCTCTCCGTTCATCTGTGGTAGGGGAATCAACACCCTTGAGCTCTTAGGGTCACGCTTTACAGCCGCGTCCATGAGAGAGCAGAGGTGCTTCCCCCATTTTACAGATTAACGGACTGAGGCACAGAAAGCTCACCTAACTGATTAGCAGGGGCTGAGAGAGCCAGGGTTCAAAGCAGGCTGATTGCCCAGCTGGAGGAGGTGATTTCCTGATCACCTGCATCCTAATGACTGCCCATCTTGCGTGTGGGACTGGCTCCCAGGCCTCTCACCTTGCTCTCTGTCCTGAATGCTGTGCCCCACCCCTCACCTGTCCAGGTCTCAGCCCCAACCCACTGCCAGAGTTCCCTCCCCTCTTCCCTCCTGGCTCTAGGGCAGGCTCAGTGTCCTAGAGGTTCGCTCTAGAAAGAGCTCCTCCCACCCCAGGTAAAGCTGCTCTCTCCTGGCAGGGCAGCCAGTCCCCAGTGCACATGCACACACACACCCACACCCCACAGCTGCACGCTGCGCACACAAGTCTCACGGGAGATACACTCGCTGTCACTCCCAGCCCCAAGCAAACCGGGCCACTTCCTCGGTAGCTGCCAAGTCTTGGACCTGCCTCCTTACCACGCCCCATCACCTGCCAGTGCCTGCAAGAAGAAGACATGGGGGCTCCTCCACTCAAGGCAAAAGGGCCCTGGACCCACCTTCAGAAACTTCTGACCTCCTGGCTGCTCCGAGAGAAAGACTGGGATCAGCGTCTGGATGAGGCCCACATGCTGCAGCAGAAGAGGTAGGCTGTCCAGGCAGGCGGCACCCCGCCTCTCGCAGATCCGCAGACCTTCCTGCCCACGGGGGTCTATCCCCAGAATTCAGCGCCAAGCACACGGATGTGCCATTTTCCCCCAAGCCACTTACAGTCACAAAACCCGAGTTGCCCCTCTTAGTGGTGGTGGGGGTTGCGCTGGGCCACATAGGGAGGCCTTGCTGCGGGTTCTGTAGATTAATAGACAGGGATCTCACCTGCCTCCCTGGTGGGAGAGGAGGGTGGGGGCCTGGAGGGACCAAAGAGAAGAAGCCAGTGTGTTAGGGGGGGTTGTAGGCAGGTGATGGCTGGTGGGGAGCAGATTGCTGGGGAATGGATGAGACCCCGTGGGTTGAGGAAAGAGGGAGGAATTAGCGTTAGTATACGTGGAAATCGGTTGGTGGGAGAGAGGAGAGCTTTGCTCACCGGAGCTGACAGCCAAGGAGGGAAACACAGGCGACCCTGGAGAGTCCTCAGTTCAGTTCCTCTGCCTTTTACTGAGCCTGCCTGCCGTGTGCAGCGGTGTGCCGGGGACTGAGGATACAAACGCTGATAACCCCTGTGTCTGCTTCTGGGCCACTCAGCTCAGGTGGGGCCGACACACCTGGGGGCAGGTCATTTCGTGGCTAGTTAGCCCCGAGGTCCACACCCTGGGACTCATCCTGTGGGCGGGCCTCTGACCTGGAGTGTTTGGGGCACTTGTCTGCCATGGGAGAGCAGGGGAATGAACTGAGCACACACTGGCCGATCTGGGTCCAGCCAGGGCTGCTTTCACGGGCAGGTGGCCTCTGCAGTGGCACGGGGCTCTGTGCTTCAGAAAAGCCCTGCACTCCATTAATGCGTTGCTGTTATTATCTGGAAACTCTCAATAATTTTTTTTAATTGTTCAAAATATTACAGATGTCTCTTTTTCTCCCCATTGACCCATGCCATCCCACC